GCAATTAAAATTTATTTAATCTTTAGACCAACTTTCTGCGGGGGCGGGGAATAAGTATTCTAGTCTTCATATTACAGGTGCATAAATGGAGGCCCACTTACCAGTCCACGGTGGTGCTGAGGCTGGCACTCCAATTCCCTAAACCCCACACCCCTGAGTTTTCCAGTGTACTGCCCTTCGGACCTTGGGCCCTATAGGGAAACCTTCTGAATGTGCCTGTGCCTTGTTTCTCCCAGTCCCAGAGGTGGGGCCTGGTACTGGAAGGGAGCTTCTCCTTCCAGACCCTCAGCAGCTCCCTGCCAGCGGTCTCTCCTCAGGGAGGCAGGATGCGACCAAGTGAAAATCTTTTGAGTCACATAGATCAGGTTCCAAATTCTGCCTCCCTTGCTGTGTGATCCTGAGAAAGTTATTTTACCTCTTTGTCTTCTTTTCCTTATCTATAAAATGGAAGTAAGAATTATACCTCATAAGAGATTCTTATAGAATGTGATAAGTAGGTTGCACGATTTGTCCCAGATGATCTTTTGTCTCTTTCTCCCAGTCTCCTCCCTCTTTTTTTCTCTCCTTTCTCCCTTCTTCTGAAGGCAGTGACTTGAATTGCCAGTCTCACCACATACTGGTAGGGGAGGGCATACTGACTAGGTGCTCTTGTGTCCTCTGACCTTACCGGGGTTTAGCTCCTCAAAGTGCTGTGAGCTGAGGCTGCGCTCTGGTCAGGGGTTGGAGGCAGCCATCTGAGACAAAAGAGCAAAACGGTGGGAGAGCTGATACTGGAGTCTGGTACCAGAGAGCAATGTTGGCTTCATTAGATACACTCGAGGTTGGTATAAGGCCCCATGTGATGTGATGTCCACACCACATGAACCCTGGTATATGACGATGCTCAGGCTGCTCTCTGGGATTGGTGGGGTGGCTCTGGCTGTCTGCAATGCAAGCCTCTCCCTTCTCTGAGGATGGCAATTCAGTCTCTGCTTTCATCTCTAGAGAGAAGTTAGGAAGAGGTCTGGGGGAGGAGCACTGAGAAGTTCTGGGACCTCTGCCCTTGATCATTTTGATCTATCCAGCCCTCTGTTCCTGCCAGCTGAACTTTCAGCCTGGGCTCATCTTTAATACTTGCACCTTTTGCTCCAGGCACAAAATTAAGGAAGACATCCCAAGCTTGTGCTGTTCCCAGCCTTTGCATTTTCCCTTAGGTTTTTCTGAAATCCTCCCCCCCTTCTTTATTGAAGCCACATGGTTAATAGAAATATTAATTGCTTCAGTTTGTGAACTGGACCCAAATTCTGTCACTGGCGTGGACTTAGGCAATCACTCAGAACCTCTCAAAGCCTTGGAACTGTTTTGGGTTTATGAGTCTTTCTTTCATGGTGTGGCAGGGTAAGAAGTTTAGGGATTTTGTGCTTTGCACAGACCACATGTTCTATCCCAAGGCCTTCCTGGGCTCAATCCTCAATCCTGTCTGCAGGCTCTATTAGAACCTGTGCTGTGCTCCATGCAATCGTCTCTGCCTCCTAAACCAAATGGTCAGCATCGTGAGGGAGGACTTATTTTCTATAGGGCCTGCCACCAGCAGACACCAGATCAGTGTCAGAATGTCCCATCATAGAACAAAAGGTTTAATGACATGATTTTAGGTTCCTGAAACATGTTCCTGTTCACTGGGCAGAATTTTTTGTTAGGACAGTTTTCAGATCAAAGGCTTCTTCTCTACTGGAACGGTAGAGTCTGTGGTACACGAGGCCCTGAGGCCTGAGATCAGCTGCGCAGGAAGAGTGTGATTATCTGGGCATGAGAATCCACCACATGCATATACCTTGTGGGCCTCTGTCTTGAGGCTGGGAGGCCTTTATAGAAGATTTTTAGCTTGCCCTCTCATCCTCAGCAGCCATGGCTCTGAGCTGCAGGGAGCCCACAGACACCTGAGGAGGAGGTGTTGGCAGAGAAGCAGGCTTAGGATCAGCCTTAGAGGATGTAGGCTGGGAAAATGTTTTTGTTTGGTGGAGGGGAGGAAGGGATGTGGACAGATGAAGAAATGTTCTTGAAGCTCTGCTGCTTCCATCTTTCATGTTGCTTTTACAGGACATTTTATCCCAATTCCTAGCCATGCCCAGTCATCAAAGATTTCTTTTGTCTTTTTTTTCCAGAACCATGCCAGGTGGAAGTGAGGCTGCTGCTGGCCTACAACTCCAACTCACGCATTCCAAAATCCCCCTGGATCGAGGCGGGCGAGATACCATCCCAGGTGGAAACCAGCATCGAAGGCACCATCCCCTTCAGCAAGTCTGTAAAAGTTTACATAATGCCCAAACCTGCAAGGCGCTGAGTCACAAGCAGTTTTTATTCCTGTGGTCGCCAAGGCCCTTCTTGGGTATGAGTGAGCTGGAAGCCTGGAGGACTTCACCTGGAAATGGTATATAGGCCTAAGGAGGAACAAGTGACCCTTACACTCTCATCTGGTATCAAACACAAGATAAATTATTTTGCATTAAGGAAACAAAAACCTTCTAGTCTGTTCTCTCCTCACCATCACTCCCTATAATAAAGCCGAGAAAGCACCAAGATGGTCCTTAAAGTAATTTGTGTGGCTATAGAATCAACACGTATTCCATATGCTTCCGTTCCTCAGGTTTGAAACAGAGATCCAAATTTTAGCTATCTCCAAAGAACCAGTTATTAGAGTCAGAATCATCTTTAATCATATTTTATTTTCAATTAGAGTTGACATACATTATTGTATTAGTTTCAGGTGTACACCCCAGTTATTAGACATTATGCAACTTAGTGATCATCTCGATAAATCTCACACCCATCTGACACTACACATAAACTATTATAAACTATTACAGAATATATTCCCTATGCTGTACTTTACATTCCCATGACTATTCTGTAACAGCTAATTTAAATGTCTTAATCCTTTCGCCTTTTCACCAGTCCCCCCAACTCCCTTCCCATCTGGCAACCATCAAAACATTCTCTGTATCTGTGATTCTGTTTGTGTTCTGCTCGTTCATTTGTTTTGTTTTGTTTAGGTTCAATTTTTGATAGGTATCTACTTATTGCCATTTTATTATTCATAGTTTTGATCTTAAAGAAGACCCTCACAGTTTAACTTTTTCACATAGATAGTTCCTTGAACTAACATAGATTATCTTGCTGAGATGGTCCTGCCATAACTTGAGCAATTAGCTGGGCCAAGGACTAAATGATAGCTGAACAAGGAATCATTTTCATCCCTGAGGGGGATTCTTGATCTTGCCTGCCACCATCCTTAGACCCAAAATAGAAAGGAAAGGCTGAATTTTAGAAGAGAACCAGGATTATGGGATCGAGGGATCCAGTTCCCACTACATCTCTGATGAGTCCAGTGTTGGGGTTACATGTGAGTCAAAGGTGCAGTTGGAGTGTAGGAGCAGCAACTCCTCCAGAGACATTAACTGGTGAGGGCTGGGTTCTTTACCTGTATATGATCCTCACAACAGCCAGATGAGACTTAGAGTTATGTCACTGGTAGGAAAACTGTATAGGTACTAGTACTAAGCTTGTATTCATTCAAATCTAATTTGATTCCAAAGGCCTGAGCTCCGCCACCTCAGGGCAGGTATATGGAAAAGAGCCCTCCAATCTTCAGTCCTCTGTGCTTCCCTTTCCTAATCTGTAAAATAGAGATAGTTATACCTTCCTTAAGGGTTATTGAATGGATCTAATTAAATAATGCTTGGTAGAATCTGAATATATAGCCAATTTTGATCATATTCGGTACTTAGAAATCTTATTAAAATAATGACTCGGAGGTGGAGCTGGAATTTGAACACAGGCATGTTTGACTTTGGGTTTTAAGGCGCTTCCACGTGTGCCCAGCCTTGTTGTTGGCGCTTTACTCCAGTTAGTTCATTCAGGCCTCACAGCTGCCCTGTGAAGTGAGTACTGTTATCTTCCTTTGATAAAGGCAACTGAACTTCAGAGAATTAAGTAACTTGGCCTGGGTCACACAACTAGTAAATATCAGACCTGGGATTTGAACCCAGGCAGTCTAGCTCCAGGAGGTTATAACCATTAAAGAGGGAATAAGGAAGAGGAATCCTCTCCAGGGAGCTTACTTTCTAGTGTGCTCGTCTGTTTTGTACATCTCAGACGTGCCATCAGTAGGGTCCTGTGTGACAACAGTTGATGCTCTGAATAGAGTCTCTGCCTTGGAGATAAGACGGAGCTGAAGCAGGCTGAGTGAGACCGTGGCCTGGACACAGGCTCCTCCTGGTTCTGCTGGGTCGGAGCATGGACAGCCCCAGGAAGGCCCCTGCTACTGACCGAGCCCCTTAAGCCACAGCCGTGGAAAGCCTTCTAAGGGAACAGTGTGTTGGGTCCCTTTTCGGATATAGTACTCCTTTTATAAATATTCTTCCAGGTTATATAAAATCCTTTTACAGGTGGCTAATGCTGGGGCTTTGTCTCCTAAGAGACAAAGCTAGGACTTGATTTTAGGTCTTAAAACACAAAATATAGTACTTTTTCCACCAAAGGTCGAGGTATCCTAAGCAGATTTTGGCTTAGCATCAGGATAAGTGTTTTAAAACTGTAAGAATTCAGTGCACTAGGAGATAAGGAATTTGTGCTGGATGTGTTCAAGCAGAGGTTGAACAAGCTCCTGACAAGTTTGTTGCAAAGGAATTCAAGTATATGAAGGGTTGGGCTCAACCTTTTAAATACCTTTTACACGGAATTCTCAGGTTGTGTGAAATATGAGAATCTTGATAGTTCTGCATCTGGTTGCACACTTTCTCACTGAAGTGAAAAAATGACACACGACAAAGATGGAAGGGAGCCTAAAGATGACCCTGGTGTGTCGCCTTCATTTCCTAAGAGAAGGTGCAAGCCCGGAGAGACCGAGTTAAGTGCCGAAGCCATGGCTGAAACCCAGGCCCCCTGGTTTCCATAACAGTAGTCCGTTGTTCCGTCTGGGTCAGCAGTCTGCTGTGCACCCAGCAGTCAAAGCCAGAACCCTATGTGTCACTGCGTCTCTGCTGCTGGCCTCACCCCTCATAGAAAAACAGCTGTCAAGTCCTTCAGATTCTGCTGCCTGAAGTGTTTCCTGACTCAGTCCCCTCCTCATTATATTTATTGTTACTGTCCCGACGCAGCCACCAGCACCTCTCAGGCACGGCACTGGCTTCCTGATGAGCTTGTCTCGGATTTTGCCCCGCCAGTCCATTCTTCATGCAGGTGTCAGAGTGAGCTTCCCAAAACCCAGGTCTCACACCACTCCTCTGCTCAAAGCACTTTAAGTGGATCACTTCTGGTCCCAGGATAAAGTCTGAGTTATTCCTAAAGGATCTCCATGCCCTTGTGTGGTCTCTAGCTGCATACTCCTGGCCCCAGACACCTCTGTACTTCCCCAGCTGTGGGGAAGTACCTGCAGCTGTTTCCTGCGCTCGCCGTGCTCTCTCAGACCTTCGGACCTGTGGACCCTGGAATGTTATCTTCAGGTTGTCCTTTGTGGTTCCCTCTCACTTTCCAGGACCGAGCCTCATTCTAGCAGGGGTGTCAAACTCATTTTTACCAGGGGCCACATCAGCCTCATGGTTGCCTTCAAAGGGCCAAATATAACTTTAGGACTGTATAAATGTAACTACTCTTTAATAGTTAAGTGAGAGCTTGGCGCTGCCACCAGGTAGAAACAAGGTGCCAGGCTGGATTCGGCCCACAGGCCTTGCATTTGCCACCTGTGCTCTCAGACCTGTTGTGTCTGATGTGGGCTTGGTGCATTGCTTCTTTCCCCCACATAGACCTTCTTCAAGCATACTATTTATCACAAATTCACAAATACAAACCCCTCAAAAAGGAGGCTGGAAAAAAGAAATCAGGAGGCTTACAGGAAAATGACAGGGACTAAAGAATCCAAGAGGATGTTCTCTGTTAGAAGGCAGTCGCTTCTCAGCCCCACCGAGTTGTTTGTAAGTGTGGGCCTTGTGGTAGTCGATCTTCCAGTTCTTCCAGGAAAGCCAGAAATCTGCATTTTCAGATAAAAACCCATTTTTAAAAAACTTAGTTATTAAAGCAAATGTTAAAATTACTCTAAGACAAACAAATTACATCTCCAAGTAGGTTTATGCCAGCTTGGAAGTTCTGCATCATCGCTGCATATTTACATGTTTGTTTCTTGGAACTAATATGTGAGCACCTGAACAGTAAGGACGTCGATGTTGCACCCCCAGCACAACTCCTGGCACGCAACAGGCAAGGAGAGAATGAATGAGTGTAAGAATCCAGAGCAAACTTAGTACCATGGCACAACTGCAAAAGCTAGCCCTGACATTCCAGTTTCTGAAAGGATTTTATATTTGACTTTGCATGATTGACTTCAGCAAACAGAATTATGGGGAAGAAAGGTGCACGCCTAGCACTTGGCAGATTTCTTGCCTCAGGAACCACTGAAGCAGGAAGAAATTAGGTGTGGACAGTGAGGACTGTGCAACCTACAAATCGAACCAGAGACTTTAATAATTAAAACCTGGACTAAGTATAGTGTCAAGTGGAAAAACTAGCTTCTCTCCAGGTTCTGCACATTTCCAGCATTGACTATATAGCGCAGGGTCAGGAGTAGGGACTATTTATTAGCAGGTTTATATAAGATTTAATAACCTCATTTCTAGATATTTCTGTCCCAAGAAGAATTTGTACTGTTCTCTTTAACATGGGACAACTCACTCAGGAACAGTGATTACACCCACACCCAATTCAGTGCCCACTGGAGCTGTCTCACCTTACATTTAACCAAAAATAGGAAGAAAATTAGCATCAATAGAAAAGCAGCCTGAATTTTATTAAACATCCTAGCTATGTACTCGTACGTGCCTGGCTTTATGAGCTGATGGAAACTGATATCTCTAAAATTCCTGTCATCTGACAAATGCCTGGCTGCAGAAATGGGACTGAACAGGACCTCCCCAGACCTCTAGGCTGGGTGGTGGGTGTGCAAGGATGTCACTCCCATGGTCCTCCTGAGGCGTGTGGTATAAAAAGACTAAGACACAGCATCGGGTCTTGGTGTTTCATCTGACCCAGGTAACGTGCACTCCAACAGAGGATTTGTACAGAGATGGTGTCTTCAACTAAAAGGGTGACTTCCATGATGGAATTTCAGGTAAGAACACGTATTTGGTTAGATGGAGAAAAACTAATTAACCAGGGCAAGCAGAGGATGAAGAAAGTTTAGGGCACCATCCCATTCACAGTTAAAATTTAAAATATAAACTCAAAATGCTAATGCAGATAGTAACAACTTCTTTGTTGGACCACTAGGACACTCAAATGAAATAACATACATAAAGATCCAGCTGTAAGACTTGAAATTCAATAAATATCAATTCTTGCCTTATATCCTCATCCCCCTTCTTTGTGGATGTGGGTCGCCCTGTGATCCTTTGCTGTGTATTTCCTCCTGTTATTCTGCTACTAATTCTAATTCCAAACATAAAGGATGTAAAGAAGGAACTGAGCGTCAAACCTGAGAGCTGGGGATTTTATGTGTATTATCTCATTTAAATGTTGGCAAATAGCCCTATAAAGACAAGACTAGTTAACTATACAAAGTTAACTAGGTTTATTGTGGTAATTATTTTGCAATATATACCAATATCAAATCATTGTGATGTACACCTGAAACTAATACAATGTTATATGTCAATTATACCTCAATAAAATTGTAAAAAAGACACAGCATTGGATTCTATCTGGGTCTGCCAATTGCTGGGTGAGCTTGGAAAAATCCCTTTGCTTTCCATTATGATGGTTTAAGTTCATCTTTTCTTGCCGGACCACATCTTAAGTTGCTGCTCTGTGGATTGGCCCCCCTTACCTTTGGTCCATGACCTACTTGGGCCAGTCAAGTGATAGGACTATGGGAAACTAAAGTCAGCTTTTCTGAGGTTGCTGCCTCAACAAGGGCAATTTTGTTGGTTATGGTTGTGACAGATCCCATGCCTGGTAACTGTCTTGTTGAAGTGTTGCCAAATATTTGTTTGGTGAGTAAATGAACATCATCTTCTTTAAGATTCAGGTTGTATTATGATGTCCTTAGTAATGTCTTCCCTAATTTTCCTCTATCGTGATAGGGTAAGTTAGTCCATCCTTGTAACTATTATAATATTGACACACTATCTTTGTTGTCTGGTGTGTCTTTTCCTATAACTCCTGAGGGTAGAAACCAACTTACTAATCTCTGTACCCCCAGCGCCCAGCAATAACTGGTTATAAGAAAATTGGTAAGAGACTCTTAGTAAATGGGCATAAAAAATTGCTGAGTAAATGAGACACAGTAGATAGTTCCTTTAGGCTCCATAAAAATGAAACTTAGCTGGCTTTACCCAGCAGCCCCACTAATAGATAATGACAACAGTGGCTTCAATGTATTGAGTCCTTACCACATGCCAGGCAGTGCGCTAAGACTTTCTATGAATTACCCCATTTAACACAGTAACTCCAGGTACTAATATTAGTCCCGTTTGACAGATGAGAACAGTGAAATTCTAAGGCTTAAATAAGTGCCCAACCACTGAGTGGCAGGCAGAAAGCCACAGTTCAAAGTCGTCTATTTGACACCAAAGCCCATGCTCATCATTCTTTAAAGAGGTGTGGGAGGGAGGATGAAAAATAAGGTGATGCTCCTAACTTATTCTACTTCTGTCATTCCATTCTAAGGCTTCACAAAGGCCACCTGGCAGTTGGTAGAACAGACTATCCATGGCAGTAGGGACTGTTAAAGGGCATCTGGTCCAGCCCCATCATTTAATAGTGAGGGAATCGGAGGCTCAGAGAGGACTGTCTGGAGAGGCTCGGGTTTAGTTAGTAGGACAGTCTGCCTGAAACCCAGTATTGGGGATAGCTCCTTCCGCTGTTACTGAAGTGATCTCTGAGTGAATTCAAGGTTCTGCTCGTGTCGTCTGCACAGAGACTTTCCCTGACCACCTACTGAACTAGCTCAATCACTCCTTCTCTTCCTGCTTTATTCTTCATCATAACAGAGTCTACTTAATTATGTATTTATTCATTTACTTGCTTATTTTCCCCACTAGAATATACACCTTGTGAGGACAAGACTTTTAATGTTTCTCTGCAGTCTATAGCAGTGCCTGGCATATAAAGTACTGGTTGACCTGAGGGCTGAACATTCGAAAGCATCAAGTGAAATGTGATTTTAATGCACTGAAGTTTTTCTTTGTTCCTCAAAAATTTTTTCTTTATTTTTGCCTTCATTTTCTCATACTGATCTAACACCACTTTATTAAACTTTGATAAATGTCCATCTCCTCTCCTGATTTTCAGCATCCCCCCTCCCCCACTAAGGACAGGGACCTTGCCTTAGCCATTCATGCATCCCAAAGCCAACCTAGCTCAGATCTGGCATGAGCAGCTATTCAAAAATGCTTGGGGAGGCTGGCATGGAGAGTGGTAAGAGTGATAATCACAGGCATTGTTGCTTAGTAATTTATTTTCATAAGGCTTCATCAGCAGGTGGAGTGGAAGACCCCTCCCACCCTCACACCTTGGGCAGCCAAGGCATTATACTCCTTCACTGCCTGCTCTGTCTGGAGGACCCGCACATCAATGCCTTGTTTCTCGAGGTACTCCAGAGTTGATGGGGGCACCTGGGAAGAAGGGAAAAGACAAGTAAGTGGTGTGGGGAGGCCCCCAGTGTTTCCTGTCACAAGGCAAGTATACTCTACAGAACTAAACAGGGACAACCTGATGCTCTGCCTGCTCAGTCACTTTGAATGTAATGGCCACACAGTACAGATGCTCACTCAGCAGTGGCTACTGCTCCCACTGACTGGTACAGTGAAGTCGCCATTGTTCACACATGTGCATTCCAGTCCACTCTCCTTGGCACCAGGTTACATTGATGTTGTGCAAACTGTTCTTGTTATATTAACAATGGCTGGACTTTTTCTGGACAGACCTCATGTAAAAGTGTCTCAATAGTGGCAGCTATTATCAGATATCCTCAACTCTGGCTTGTCCTGAATATTATTTGTATATTTTAATTAGACTTGCCTCTTCAGAAAAGCACTGAACTATGTATATATTTTAAAGATTTTATTTATTTATTTATTTTTAGAGAGGGAAGGGAGGGAGAAAGAGAGAGAGAAAGAAACATCAATGTGCGGTCGCTGGGGGTCATGGCCTGCAACCCAGGCATGTGCCCTGGCTGGGAATTGAACCTGCGACACTGGTTCGCCGCCTGTGCTCAATCCACTGAGCTATGCCAGCCAGGGCTGAAATATTTTTTTAAATGCCTAACTTTACTTTTCTAAATGTTTGAACAATATTATAATAATGGTAGCTTTATAGATAGGAATTATTTTAATGGGGGAAAAACTAGGTTAAACTGAAAAGTATAAATAAATAAAGGGCACCATCGGTAGGGAGCTGGATTTTAGAACTTCTATGTAAAGAATGAGGTACCTCTCTATACACTTAGGTGAGAAGCTATCCACAGTGTAATCATGTAAGTGAATAAAAAGTTGCAGAACAATATGTATAGTGTGACCTATTTATGTAAGAGTGGTTATGAGGGTATTCACGTGTATCTGAATGTGTAAGTGTGTGTGTATTTGCAGATGTGCAGAGAACTGGAGCAGTATACACAAGTGTGGAGACTGGGGAGGGGAAACCTTTCACTCCCCCCCACATTTCTGCATTGACTCTCTTGTGTAAGTAAAATTAAAATAAATAAACTTTTTTTTCATAAAGGGGGAAAACAACTTCAGTGCATCCAAGAAAAGAAAAAGTAGTATAAAATCTACCATAAAAATATGAAGTGCTATAAAATTCTAAAGAACCAAAGGCTGATACTTGTGGAGCCTGGGAAATTCCAAGATTGAGGGCTTTCTGAGAAACACTTGAAACGATGCAGGTCCAGGGCTAGGTAGAGAGACTGGAGAGTCCAGCCCTGGCGAGGAGAATAGAATGCAGCCATTATTTTATGCTGGGCCATCCATCAGCTCACGAGCAAGATGAGGGTGCATGATACAAAGAGATGAACACGTAACAAGAACGTATCTCCAAAGTGCCAAGAGATAAGTGGCTGTCCTCAGGACACTCATGTTCACCAATACCTACCTTCAAGGCCTCACTCATCCCTCGGCCAATCACAAGGGTCTGCACACCCTTCTTGACAACTTCCTCCACATCTGCAGGCTGCACACCAGGAGAATGCTGGGTGTGGAAAGAAAAAGTATACCAGCTACCTGCTCTTTTAATCTTTCTTTGCAATTGGCATTCTTGTGGGACTCATTCATTCATTCACTGAAGAAATGCTTATTGGCACAGAGGTTTACTCTGTGCCAAGCTTTATTCGGGGCCCAGGGAATAACAGATGACATGGTGCTGCCCTTGAAGCCCTCTACATCTAGTGAAAAATATACAACAAAAGACTAAAAATAAATTTAAATGGTTCTACAAGGGCTGCAAGGAAGTAAGTTCACAATGCTGTGAAACATAGTGAAAGAGCACTGAATTCAGTCCTGGGGTGAGTGGAGGAGAGACTGTTCCATGACACGACCACTCTCTGCACTGCAGCCTGGACCTGGCCAGCATGGAGGCTGCTTTCTGCAAACGCCCCTTAGAGACTGTCTGATAGCAATTGAAACCAAAATATAACATAATTGATAACATATATCAGCACCCCTCTCTTGCCTCCTGCTAATGTACTGGTTCACGAGTTATTAGCTGACCTGGTCAAGCATGTAAATGAATTTCCCATACCAGGTAGCATTTGTGTACTATTACCCATGACTATCTTCCTGCCCCCACCCCCCATGTCCTATATAATTCTCTGGCCCTGCCAAGGGCACGTGGATCCATTTCATCTTGCAGCTGCCCGTGACATGCCCTGTGTGTAAGTTTCCTTTAATAAACTCTATTAATTTCCAGACTGGAGTGGTCAACCTCTTTCTTCACTCTCTCTCTGCCCTGTGCTTATAGGAGTAAATTTTCAGTCTCAGAGCTTTTCCCTGGATCTGTGTGTACTAATAGGGGGGCGGGGGGTGTTGGGACAGGTAGCTAGGGAAGGCCTCCTAGAGGAGGGGAATTTAAGCTGATACCTAAAGGACAAACAGGAATTAGCCAAGTTAAAGGAAATCAGGGAAAAAGGCATCCCAAGTTCAGGGAGTAGCATGTACAATGGCTCAGAGGAAAGAAAAACCTAGAGAACTACAGGTGCTTGGGTGTGATGGGAGCAAAATGGATAGGTGAGGGAGTAGGAAGAGATGAGGTAGGAGAGGAAAGCGCTTGGACAGCATGCCAAAATTTGGACCATGGAAAGATTTCAGAAGACTCCCACACCATTTCCTTTTTCTAAGACACTTTTCCACGTAGCTCCAGGAAAAATTCTGTTGCACTCTAAACCAGGCCCTATCAAACACTGAGAAGCACTGAGAAGCACTGAGGTGGACTAAAATCGTCCTTGGAGGAGTTTTAGTCAGGTAAGGTTAGTGAACATACGGAAATAGTTTCAAAATAGTTAAAAAAAGGATGAGTTAGAATAGAGTGGAGGGTCTCAGAAGCCAGACTTGAGTAACTATGAGTGGGCAACCATTGTGGACGACGTGCTGTCTTAACACATTGCGTACCACGTCGAAATCTCTAAGACATACGCCAGGGACCGCACGTTTTTGGGCAAACTGCACATTATTTAAATCATCATAACTACAGATTATAATGCACTTTAGGTGTTGTTTTTCAATAATTATAACTTTTTTTTACAAAAACAATTAAACAACTAATTAAACAATTAAAGTTCCTGGTACTTTTTTAACGTATGGTACTGCATAAAACATTTTCCTCTATGAAGAGGGACCAAACATAAGTATCTAGATTCGCTCCTTTTTCCATGGGCGGCACAAACTCTGCAGGCTCTCGTAGGAAATTTTTTCTTTCCACTCTCTGGAATACACGTAGGTTCATGCTGCTTCATATCACCTGACAACCTTTTGGGTGGATCTTTACGAGGTGCTCTCCTTGTACCCCCAGGGGAAGAGCTGGACAGATTTGTTTCTGGTTCTGGAGAGCCTTCATTATTGTCATCCATTATCCAGTCTCTCAGCAGAAACTGTTCTTCATTTCCTCTTGGCCCTTGTTGATAGCTTCTATTTCCTTTTTCATGTTGATATCGTTTGCAATGAGCTCATTGTAGCTTCCCTGTAGTTTCTGGTAGCTCATTGTGAGCTCATTGAGCTTCCTGACAATCATTGCTTTGAACTCGGTATCTGATAGTTGAGTTGCCTCTATTTCATTTAGCATTCTAAGGCTTCCTCCTTTCCTTTCATTTGGGAATTGTTTCTTTGTCTTCCCATTGTTTGTGAGACTCTTCTGATAGCAGAAACTGTTTATACTTCATTTTTGCTCACGATTGAGGCTCGCCAAACACAAGAAAACTGGTGAACGGTATGAAATGTGTTCACTGAGTCCTAAAGTGTGAGTAGAAGTGTGCCTCGAGGCAGCGGTTGTGGGAGGTGTGCATTCTGACCGGAGCTGACGTGGCGCAGGGAAAGAGCTGCTGCAGACAGCACCTTTGACTTCACTGGTGAATTCTCTGTGGGGCATTCAGTGGAAATCCTTAACAAAACATTAGCAAATCCCAGGATGATTCAACATGAAAAAATCAATGTAGTTCCCCACAGTAAAGAAGAAAAAGCATATAATCATCTCAACTGATGCAGAACAAGCATTTAATAAAGTTCACCACGTATTTATGATTTTAAAAAGGCTCCCAGCAAGCTAAACTAGAAGGGAAACTTCTTTAGATGAAGGACATCTAAAAAAACCCTACAGCTGAGTATCAAATATAATGCTGAAATATTAAACATTTTCCCTCAAGGACTGGACATAATGGTATCAGCTAGACATTTATTTCCTTCTTATCTCTTAGACCTGTCCATTCCTCTCAGTTGCCACTGCTGCTGCTCTGGTTTAAGCTACTTTCACTTCGTGTGTGGACTATTGCAGTGACTTTCTAACTAGTCTCCATAAAATCACTTCAGCCTACTCCAATTATCTGTTCTTCAAATGCAGGCAAAGGGATTTCTAAAAACGCAAAACCATTTATTTTATGCCTCTGCTTAACAGCACTTGACAGCTTCTCATGGCCCTTAGAACAAATGCTAAACACTTTAACATCGTCTGTAAGTGTCTAGCTGCCTCTCCAGTCTCATTGCATTTCATCATGTTCTGTACTCTGGACAAAAAGGACTCTGTCCACTCTTCAACCACAGCATGTTCCCTCTAGAGGGATGAAAAGAAAATCGACAGATTGGGAGAAAATATTTGCACATCACATATCTAGAATATATGAACAATAAGAAAATGCAATTTTTAAAAATTTTTTCATTTATTTTCAGACAGAAGAGAAGGGAGGGAGAAAAAGGGATAGGAACATTACCAATCGGTTGCCTCTTGCACACCCCCTACTGGGGACCTGGCCCACAACCCAGGCATGTGCCCTGACTAGGAATTGAACCAGTGACCCTTTGGTTTGCAGGTTGGCACTCAATCCATTGAGCCACACCAGGGTGAAAACAATACAATTTAAAAAAATGAGTCAAGTATTTGAAAAGGAAAACACTTTCCCAAAGAAGATATATGGGTGGTTATGAAGAACCTGATACAATACTCTGTAAGTCCCCATGGAAACACAGACTAAAACAATACAATGAGATACCGGATGCTGGTGAGGATACGAACACACTGGATCTCCCATACATAGCCAGCGGAAACATAAATGTAGACCTACTTCTGGAAAACAGTTTGGCATTTTCTCACAAAGCTGAACATTGTGACTCAGAAATTACACTCTCAGGTATGTATCCTAGAGAAATGAAAACTCATATTCACACAACAAAACTGTACATGAATGTTGATAGCAGCTTTATTTGTAACAGTCCCAAACTGAAGACAACTCAAATGTTCCTCAACTGGCAAATACATCATGTTATGATCCAAATAATGGAATACCACTCAGCAATGAAAAAGGACAAATTTTTTTGATACACAGGACAACATGAATGATTCTAATGTTTTATGTTAAATTGAAAAAACTGTATGATCCCACAGAAACTAATGTCTTCCAAATAATGAGAATAAAGCTATATGAGTCCATTAATATGACAAGGAAATGTGACAGTTGCATTAGGTCATTTGGCAAAATATTAATGAGATCCACATATTAGGTAATAGTATTTTATCAGTGTATTTCCTGATTTTGCTCATTGCATTGTAATTGTGTAAGACAACATCCTTGTTTAGGGGAAACACACACAGGTATTTAGGAGTATATGGGTATAATATCTGCAACAGTTAAAAATATATATATTGCCCTGGCTGGTGTGGCTCAGTGGATTGAGTGCTGGCCTGCAAACCAAAGGGTTGCCAGTTCAATTCCCAGTCAAGGCACATGCCTGGATTGCAGGCCAGGTCCCCAGTAGGGGGCACTAGAGAGACAACCACACGCTGATGTTTCTCTCCCTCTCTCTTACCTTCTCTCTAAAAATAAATAAATAATCTTTTAAAATATATATAATGATGGAAAGGGTGATAAAGAAGATACGATGAAGTGTTAACACTTGGATCTGGGCAAAATGAGAATTCTTTGTTATTATTCTTATAACTTTTCTGTAAATCTGAGGTTATTTGAAAATAAACAGGAAATTTAAAAGTAAATAAAATTAAGAAAATAAAGCAGGAATGGAGCACATAGAGCCACACACTTACTGATCTATTTAGGCAAGGAAACAAATCTTAACAGAAGGCAGGTGGCTACACAAAGCAGAGCAGATGCAGCACATCTTTGCCTGCTTTCTCCCCGTCTCTTGGTTCCCTGTGGGGTGTGCAACTGCTGCTGACACCCTTCACTTAGTCAGTGCACGCTTCAGAGCTGCTAACAAAGCCAGTCTCTCTCGCTAGTACTCTTTTGTATTCAGACGCACTTCATCAGCATCTTCCTAAGGAAATTACACTAAGACTGTATGAGCTTATGTTTTAGGGAATGTCACAGAGTGTTCTGAGTTAGAACAACTGCGTGTCAAAGACTGAACCAAGCTCATCAGTGGCAAGAGTACATTCTTATCTTGAGAGACTGCAGAGCTAGTGCCCAGGTGTCTCTGCCTCCAGCTTTCCCAGTTCTCCACAAAGATCAGAGGAGATTAGGACAGATGGGATTC